TTTATTAAAAAATTGAAAAAAAAAAATTTTTTAAAAAAATTAATTAAAAAAAAAAAAAAAAAAAAAAAAAAAAAAAATATCTTAACAGTGACAAACTGTTGGCAATGATCCTGATAGATAGAAGTTATTATCAATCTATTAGGGGAATAAAATATTGTCCTCAAAATCTGATTTAGAATACTTTTGTATGAAGATGAGTTAGTCATTTTGTGAAAGTCTAAAATATTGTAAATTTATTTTCATAAAGACCATTGTGGCATGATTGCGGGTTAAAAAAAAAAAAAAAAAAAAAAAAAAAAAAAAAAAAATTTGATAAAAAATAAACTGCTTTTATTAACAAACTTATTTTAAGCCAAATCATAGGTAAAGATGGGTCCTTAAAGAGGAAGGCAAGAATAAAAATCAAATTAATAACTATAAAAAAACTACACAGAATAATTTTCTATTATCAAAATCTTTGATTTATAACATTTCTAGAATTTTATTCCTACTAAAAGTAAAGAACTATCTCTCAAAAAGGAACATAAATGATCTGCGAATTTTATATGCTAAATACTCTTTAGGGAACATATAGACTTAAGCATTAAAATAAATATGGCTTGGTTCTTTTACACGTGGTAATCTGTTTATTACGACCCAAACACGTTTTTTTTTTTTGAAGAAATCTTATTTTTTTTTATACTCTTATCTTTTGAAGTAAAAAAAAAATGCCCCCCAGACGGAATAATCATTCTGAAGCTTTTAAAACTGTCCATTACGCGAGGAAGGCCAATGCCATAGATTTTTTGGAACAAAACGAGACGAAAGCTAAAATAGTTAACCTGTTATTCGACAGTAAGGAGGGGATAAGATTAAGCTCATTACCTCTAGAATATTTCCGACGGTATAATAGAGCTTTGACCTATACTGGAAAACTGGTAAATAATCCTTCTGAATTTTGTATGCACCTTTGCTTCTTTCTCAAAATCATTAACAAAAAAAAAAAAATACACACACATATATATAATATTGCAACGAAACAGTTTGAAGATTTGGATAAACATATACCAAATACATTTATTACTACAAAGGCTAATCCAGGACCTGTGCTCATAAAGCCTCTGGATTCTGCAGAAAAATTTCAATGGATAAATCCTTACGGACCTTTACCTATTCCTGAAACATATGAACTTTACGGTCGGGTCAATAAACATTATGAGGAAGTGATAGACCTAGATAGGGAGGAAAGACCGAGATACGTCAGTAATAATGATTTATGGAGGAGAGGTTCTATTGAAAAGCATAGAACTTTGAATGGTTCGCAAAATCCATACCCGCATGAAGTTCGCATAATAAACAAAAAATATAAGCCATATCGACATAATAAAAAATTTGAAGACATGGAAAATAACGGAGGATTTAATGAAAGTTCAAAATGGACGAATTCATATAGCCTTCAACCTCAGCATAATCCACTAAATTCTGATAACTACAGCCTTCAACATACTGCTCGTGGTTACCCGCCTCCGCATCATTCAGAATCGTATGACACAAATCATGCAAATTCGCAATATCATGAGCTTTATTCTTATGGTCATTCTCCTCAGCATGATCGAAGGAATAGTGATGACAGTCCTTGTAATCTACCTTCAACACTTCAACAACCGCAATTACCCGAATATCGTTCTTCCGAGCCTCCAATTAAGATCGAGCCTCCAATTAAGATCGAGAGCCTTGAAGAAAATCTTACATCTTCCAATAATTCTCCGTCCAAAAAGTTTTCATTGCCAGCAACTAATGACATTGAACAAAACAATCAATCTTCTGAAAATCAACTCATCCCAATATCCAAAGAAGATGAAGAAATTGTGGAGGCAACAATGGAGCAAGAGGAACGGAGAGCTACAATGGAACAGGATAATATAACAGAACAAGGGGCTATAATAGAACAAGAAGTTGCTGCGGAACGCGAAGCTTCCTTAGAAGTTGAATCTGATAAAGCTTGCATGGAGTTTGGTTTTAAGAAGTATAAAGAATTATTATCAGGGAAATTGCGACATCCAGTATTTATCAAGAAAGAAGATGCACCAAACCTTTCTGAACTTCAAAGGGTCGTTTTAGAGTTGCTTTTTCTTTAATAAATATGTACGGATGTATTGAATTGGTTATTTCAAATAAAAAAAAACTTATACTGATTAAAGTTTGAATAAACGATTTGAACTCTGAAATAAAATAACGTGAATAATTTTGGTTTACCTTCGAAGGATGCCATGATTTGTTCTGGTCAATATCATTGAGATAATTATCCCCGAATATTGATTTCAACTAAAATTATGCTAGATCATATGATTATCAAAAAATCGGACACCTTTTACAATTATTAAAATTTAAATTTTTTAATTGAATTTCTAGATTTCAGTATACGATTTTATTATGAAGCGATTAAATTATTTTGTCAACCTTTTTGGAAGATCAGGAGTACAAACAAGTTTAATATCACCAAGTTAAATGTTTAGTATATAGTATAATGATTTTAAGGGTAGAGTATATATCGATCAATTTTCATATTAAATATAATGTCTTAGCTTTAATTTAAGTTATTGAATAATAATAATAATAATTTTTTTTTAACCCTTAATTATATTATTATGGCATATCTTTATTGAAATGGGTAATTATTTTTGAAAATGAACCAAAAATTTTTTTGACCTAAAATTGTAATCCCAAAATTATATTTTAAAAATATAATTTAAAATTATAAAATTTTATATTTATTAATTTTA